AAAATTGAAAGTAGTTTTATTAGTACATTCATTAATGTATAGTTACATCACTTGTTTTAATTTGCTTTTAGATATGTGAATATGTTATCCAGTGATTGTTGTTTTCTTAACATCGTTAAAATATTGGGTTATGTTTTACTGCTTGAATAATTAATTCAAAAATTAGTGAATATAAAGTATAGACTTGGCCATACACCAAATTAGCAAAACACTTAAAACACATTTATGATTAACTCAATAATTCTGAAGTTTTATTTTTTATATTTTATTGAGAAGCAAATCGTAAAAAAATTAGTGTGGGCTCTCTAATTGACAATTTGTGTAACACGCAAGAGTGACCTAAATTTTAAATTTTCACAACATTTTATCATATGTTTTAGATGAATATCAATGTATCATTCAATGTTAATTTCATTTTTTATTTGAATTTTTACTATTTTTTTTTTTACCCGGCCCCCCTCTTCGTCGTATCCTGGCTCCGCCCCTGTTAATAGCGATAGAATAGGGTTTACAACTGCGGGCCAACAGGCCCAGAATACATAGTTTACATAGAACGACACTAATGCATATTCGATATAAACGATAACACACTATATAGATTTTCCTTCAACAACATCAACAAAACCTCTCTCCCTTGTGCTGAGTTGTAGATAGAATTTGGTATCTGTCTTGTTGTCTCGTCAAAACCTCTGTCAAGCAACAAAACCCAATGGAAAAAATAAACCTTGGTCAAAACAGAAAAAGGGTACAACGCACCAATATAACTGATGATAAATAAGTGTGCAAGGACTCCCCCTGAGTGCAACACATCAATAAGAATCCAACACTTACTTGATATATACTTGTATCAAGGTATTCCGTACATAACATCATGGTTTTTTTCATGATAAATATATACTCATTTAAGAAAATATCAGTGAGGTAAGGGGATATCCAACATCGGTAAAACTCAAATCACATTACTTTGTGTTAGAATGACACTTTTGACATTTCCAATTCCTTTAGGAAATTATCATGCATCAATCATTTCATTTAATTTATAAGGGATGAATAAAGATTACACCAATGGTTTCATATAAATATCAAAGTACATTCTTGATATCATTCCAATGACGATATACGATGTGTTTCCCTGAGCTATTTTTAGCTAACACATTATTGAGAATGTAATATTTGGTCGAATGTGTTTGTCAAAGTACAATCATGCGCATATTGCACCTACATAGGGAATTTCTTCTCCCAATAACTTTTCAGTAATGGATCTTTTCTAGTATCCATATTTCGACCAATCATGGGAGTGCTAACAGTTTACATTTATCCATGTTAATTTTCCTGAGAACTCTTTTGGATATATGCAACTGGTGAATTAATATTCTACCAACTCGGTGTTTAATTTCAAAATAGACCCGAGTTTTCCGACATCCTTTATCTGAATCAAATATCTAACATGTCTCACGTTCCATTATGAATACATATTAAGTCTATATCATGGAGATACAATGATATTTGGAAACATAACTTATTTCCATGATAAATGCGCTAGGCATAATATATTTATTATGCATCCTTTTTCAGTCAAGTGGTCACTTAAACATGTATGTCACCCCGTCTGGATTGATTTAATCCAAATGTGAACGTTTCAATGTAAACATACAATGTAATAGCCACAATCTTTAGCTGAGACATTTAAATAATAGTCACATAAAAGTTGTTGTCTACTATCCCTTAAATGAAATTTTACTGGGACATTTAATAGCCACAATCTTTAGCTGCCTTTCCATTACTTTGGAGGGTACTTAGAGATTAAGTAGTTGAACATTTTTGTGTTCAGAATAAAGAAGTATAACTTGTCATATTTGAATCCAGGGCGATGTGAGAATGATTAGGACCTCATTATCTCAATACGCTTTCTAATAAAGAATTATTTTATGTCCCAGAGGCTTTACGCTTGGTTGATTAGCACTATCATACCAAATACTTGTCTCTTTGTCAAATATTAAATTTTTACCTTGATTACTTTTACGCATTTAGGCCAATATTCTCATTGCTCATATTGCAATAGAGTATGGTTCGATATCATCATGCTCTATACTCCTTCGAGCAACCGTATAAATACATCATTAGTATAAGTGTAAGGTCTATCACTCGACTCAGACACACTCTCATTAACATTGAGATTTTAATTCTCTGGAATCATTTAAACTTCGGGGCATCCCCCATTATTGATTCATGAACATATTTAGTCAGAGATAATCTTGTGAGAGGAATTCATATGATGACAAATATATTGGTTTGCGCCTTATCTATCCTTTAATACTTTGGGTGGATAATTAATCGAACAATGTGGCTTCCTCTATTCCTTTAGAGAGCCACGACCTCAACCATAACCCCACCACTTGTGATTGCAATGCTTCTTCCTTTAGCATTGTGTCTTTTAATTTTAATTCAAGCCTTATAAATATGTTTTTAGCTAGTGTGTATAATCTGATTACTTAAATCATTTACTCTAACTTCAATGTTACATTTTGAAGTCTAAGATTTATCATTGAGACAAAGTAGTGATGTACAATTATAAAGATTCTGTCATTTAATTAGAGAATTGTTTCTCTAATCCCCCCCTAATGACAGGAAAATCAGTTGTCTCATCAAAGTGATATTCCGAAAAGCGGTGAACACATTATTTGTTAAGTCTTGATTTGTTTTTAAGTGATGAGTGCCCCGGATACCAACTGAGTTCCAAGTGAGATAAAAGTCTAGAGGAGGGGGTGAATAAATTTTAAATCTTTTCAGGTCTCTTACCGCAAAGCAATCCGTTGGCAAAGCAAATCAATCTATAATTATTGAATGAACTAAAATTTGATGAACTAAAATTTGAGTGATTCAATGAATACCCCTAACAATGTTTATAGGTGAATATATAAATGATATGATAAAATTTATTCTTGAAATATAGAAGTATGAGCTCTTTTAGTTAAATTGGTCTCAATTGGTTTAATCTTTTCAGTTCATGTTTGGGTTGTTTTTCTACATAGCAAGAACAATTGCAAGTCTTTGTAAATGTGTTTTGGTGATTGGAGTTTTACTTCATGGAAATTGAATCCCGTAGTAACAAAAAATCTGTAAACTCCTGATCCTTATCCTCAAATAAGGAATATAGTAGTGTTTGAAGAGGAAAAGAATTAGTACTGTTTCTCATATGATCATTTCAGCGAACACCGTATGTCCGTATGTACAATTTAAGGTACTTAATTGCAATTTTTTTTTGAAATGGTAGGAATTGAAAGGCTTTGTTTATATGAAATATTCAGGAAAAAAGATGCTTGAATAACAGTACTGAGACACTATATTATCATCTTTGCTATAGTCAACATTTCAATGTCGCAGGCCCTCCCCCAAATTATAGAAAGAAAGAACTAATCGAACCCAAAACATCTTTAATGTAATAATAAAGCTAAGAACAAATACAGTTTAATACTCACAATAGCTTTAAGGAATGCCTATATTTGGGGTTTGATGCTTGTGTGTGTTAGTGCAAAGCAGTGAAGAACAGGCGGAAATTTGAGGGCTTGGCGGTTGGAATATCTGGAGGAAGGAGGCGATGAGGTCACCTATATGAGTGAGAGGTGGGGCAGCCTCCATGAAACATTGACAACGCTTCTAGAGCACTCAAAAAAACCAAGCACGCGCACGGCCTAGAGGCGCACAACGGCGCTAACGACGAGAAAGGTGAGGGTAAAAAATGATCCCCTAAGACACTGACTTACCAAAGTAGATTATTGGTTGATAGAAACTATACGTTTCACCAATAAACTCGGTATTTAAAGACTTAGGCGTCTAGGTCTGGTTCAAGTCTACGGACACCAGATTGAAAAACCTCACCCCATATATGAAACCCAGTAAGGAATTATTAATTTTAATAAATAAAATGTTCATTTGAAATAGTGGGGGATTGTTGGAAATTTTATAATATTTCAAATGAATAAGGTTTTTACACCTAAGTGTTTTAAATTTATTATGTAAATGAATTTAATTCATTAATCATGTTTTACATTGCAACACTTAAAATACACAATAAAACCGTTGCTCACCAAAGCTCAATAACATTCACTCATTAATGTTATTAATTATTTTTATTAATATAATAATATCAAACGTTGCTCTTAACATTTAACCCATTTAATTAAGATGGTACGTTGAAAGCTTTTATGGTAATGTATATGTATCACTAGTATATATATTGCATGGTGATGCATGTATTAGTATGCATTAAGAGTGATGGGGATTAATTCTTAGAAGACACTCGGCCCCTACAAAGTGAATAGATATATCATATATACTCTACTACATATTACTCTTCATACATTAATATGTGTGTGTATATTTTACTCCTTTTGTATATATATAGAAATATATAGAGTGTGATCCGTGTGGGTATATAACCAATTGATAAACACACTTTTATTATTGCTGGGTTCATATACTATTTTCTTCTCGTTCGTTCTGGTACCGGTTTCATAACCGAAGGGCTCGTTATATCTTGGGGGAAATTTCCGTATGCCGGAAATAATTCCTTAGGAAAGCGTCTGTCGCGTCTCGAGCCACTAATATATTTTTAATTCTTTTTAGTGATTATTTTGCAGGTCAATTCTCGGAGCTAGATAGTCAACGAGGTCAATTTAGAAGCAACACGGTCAACACGTTGATTTTGGAAGGATAGAGACAACGCATGTTAAGTTTAAATGGAGGTGCCCACATTGGCCTCAATGGATGGTGATTGTGATTGTGCAGCGTTATTTATTTGCTATTAGATTTTGTTTTTTTTAGTGTTGCTATTAGATTTTTTTTTGTTTTTTGTTTTAATGTAAGTGTGAATGGAAATGTTGTTGACAACGAATCTACCCACAGAATACTCAAGTGATAACCAATTACGTAGTTTTCCCAAAGAATAACCCACTGCTAAATCCTATGAGTAGTAAATACGTTACAAATTGAAATAACAATTATTTAGTAATCATGCTAACAGAGGAAAAATTGATACGGTGATATTTACTCCAACATGTGTTGTTGTACATAATTTAAGCAAGCTAGTACTGCTAGTAGTAAAAGCAATAAGAATAAAATTGATAGTACAGAGAATAACAGTATTATGGTCCAGTGGAAATGTCGTGAAGGGTGGTGCCTCTTAGTGCTGCTGGGCTTCCTTATTGATACATCGATGGGTTGAGAACCTGCGGTAGAGAAATGTACTACGTATGAAGCTTAGGTGATATATAAGACATTGCTATTAAAATATAGACAATGTGCATAGTTATGTTTTAGTAATTTAGTCTTATTTATAAAATTCCGTAGAAGCGAACATTATTTTTGTATTCCCTAAAACGTGAAAGTATATTGTCGTTAGTGTCAATATTTTCCAAATTTTATGTAATTACTTCGTATATTACTCATATTTATGGAATAAAATCAAAATGATCGTATTTTAGAATGACTTGTCACACGTTTTTATTTGTACTTGGGACTATATTTTTTATACAAAAAATGACAACCAAAGCATACCTTCAGTATAACAAATTAACAATATAATGCTACATGAAATCATAACACAAAATTTTAACGGACTTAAGAGTAAGGGAGGGCATTCATGCTATTCTAAAAGTGCAATAGTGTCTAAATAAACAAATACATCTCTTATACATAAAATATGTTGTCACAAATAAAGGCATTCCCTCGTAATCACAACTATAATTTTATAATTATCAGGGCCGGCCCTAAGGAAGGGCAGCAGGGGCGACCACCCTAGGCCCGAAAGTATATAAGAAAATAGGATCCAATTTTTTTCTTTACATATAATGTCAGTAGGCTTCTTATTTTATTTTTGAATTCAAATAATTAGTCTTAATGTTTAATTTATGTTGATAATTTGAAAATGTTAAAACATAAGTAAAAAGTCTTGATATGAGCCGCTCAGACAAGTTCAATAGAGGCTGGTTTTAAGTAAACACATTTGTTGTTAAATCAATAAAGAAATGTCATTCCACATCTTTTTAGCCTTTAAATCTTTTAATTCCTTTTTTATGTTTTAATGAATTTTCTCACTAATTATCTAAACATAGACTTACAGTCGTAATCGGTCCATCCAATCCGTTGGTTAGTTAAATCGTAAACAACGATCTTATCTTTGAGAAGAAGATCTGCAAATTACAATGCATAGTTAAATGAATAAGTGAATCAATAAAATCAATAAATATAACATAATAAACAAAAACCATTATCATGAAGGGATTATGGAACTCTGAAGGCGAAAAAGCATGAAAATGCATTAAATATGGTACATAACACTTGATCTTTACCTCCTAAGACGGACATTTTTTCAGATTTAAAAAATCCCAAGCACCAGTGACTCGTTCCATCCTATTATTAGAGCAGCATATACAATTACGCACTTCATTAAAACCAACACCCATAACCAAAATACATATACCCAGGAAACTAAAAAACTTTTCCACCAATATAATCCACCCTATATATAAGATCACACCTCAATCTAAAGTTTAGGATATATTATTTTAGATAGAAAATGATAAAAAAGCCGGCAGCTTACCACCGAATCTTGATGTACAAGGTAGTCTATAGGCTGGAGAATCATTGATGCACCCCCAGCAAAATTTAAACGGATGGATGGAAAAATGGTAAAAACACTACATCCAAAAATACAACGTGAGATTGACAAAAAATATAAACATAAAAAATTAATTAAATTAAATGACTAACATAACTAAATAAATAGATGTAAATGAGAACTCGTAGAGGAGTACCTAGATGAGGAGGCATAGCATTGCCTACCCTCGCCATTATAGATATACACATTATTTGACACAATTTGGTTGATCTATGTGACAAGAATAATAGTCTTTAGTCAATATATAATCTTCATTCATAACATTAATAATGTGACAAGCTAAGAACAATAGTCAATATACTTTTCATTCATAACATGCATTAATAATGTACAGTAATTATGAACTTACAGCATTAACAAAGGGATCATATGCCTCCATCACAATGTAACCCATAGTGGTTCCAGAGTCTATTAGAGTTCCTCCATTGTTTGCACCAAATAATTGGGGATCAATGGGTACTGGTTGCTCAGTAATATATATACTCTGGAGCTCCACACGGTAATTCGCACTGACAATTTGAAGCGCGTTAGTTATATAGCAGATTTTTGAGAAAATACATACATACATTTCTATCTAATTTAAGAATCATGATTTCTAATGTCAGTAATGTGCTTGTGTTTATGTGTGCGCATAAAAAACATATGCATTATATATGCATCCTACTTTGTATACGGTGTATATTAATTACTTTTAACTACGTGGAAAAGATAGTAAGACAGATCACAGATAAACTGATACGCAAGGAGTAAATAGTTTGCAAAAAGCGTTCTTAATTAATTTTGGGATTGGTGTGGTGAGTGAGTGCATCATCAGTGCATGAGTGGGTGCAAATCAATAATTTCACTTCATTTCTTTTGTATGTGATGAAAACATACCCGGGCACCATTGGAGTGTACATAATATTGGGCTGCACAACCTGTCCAAGAACAAATGAACCGCCGCCAGTTCTCTTGAAGCAGTGAGCGAATACGAAGGGTATTACTCCTTTTGCTGCCAACTGGTTAACGGCGGACATTTGGTTGTTGCCCAATCCCAATACTCCATCAAGTATTGCAGTATGGCTTTCCGCGCTCTGCCGATGAGTTGCACATCTGTCATGTTAAAACAAACGAAAAGAAAGGCACTTTAGTTCATCAAGCTTTCAAAAAATATTGAAAACAACTACTATCGTATTTTATACTTGTATTCAACAAGACTTACCCAAAAGTAATTGGAGTAGAAGTGTTGATAGTGGAGGTTCCAACATTTTTTCCTAAGTGGATCAAATCAGTTAGATAATCCACTAGGGCCCAAGAACCGTCCTTGTACTGATGAGTGTAAGTGCAGTGGTTTTGGGCAGAACATCCAATACCAACTCCTGTGCATATTTGGTCGTCAGAGCACGGAATGAATCCCGACGTCGGAGAAGTGGATGGGTCAAAGAACGAGGGATGAACCTATAAGGAGATAGATACATATAACAAGTAAGCATATTGTTTTCAAAAAAAAAAAAAAAAAAAAAACAAGTAAGCATATTTGGTCCTTGAAGTTTTGATACGGGTAATAAAGTTATGGTCATATGGTTTGTTTTACCTCTAGCATGGATTGGTGCTCGCAATCCTTGCAAGAGATACAGTTCACCCATAGACCGTCGCTTCCGGTGTCAATCTGGACTAAAAATTCTTTGGGAGGAGATCCCAAATAAATTTTTGTGTAATACAGCCTAAACAAAACAAAAAATTATTAATACATCAACCAAAACTTAATTAATATGAGTGGAGTATATATATTGTTTGTGGAGTTGCTTACCCAACGTCAAAGCTTCCTTCGAGGGGGAGATATACAGCACCATCAATGTAGTGCTGCAAGAGTCGGGCCCTACTGTTTGTGGAGATTGCCTTTCCCGCAGTGAAACTCACCATTTGTCCATCACAAACCAGTGCAAATACAACCACCGCAAGTACACCAAATGCGTGAATGATCCCTCACTCATTTTGTGTCCTTCCATTAGCCTTGCTGATCGATCCAAAATTGTAGAAGGCACACATTGAGAGCTTGAATTTCCGGGTTTAAACATATTGTGCATCTTTTGACTAACTAAATTCTATGTTTATGATCATTGAATATAGACCATTCTCATGAAAGTTAAAAATATATACGTAGTACTCCCTCCGTCCCAATTTACTTAGCCAAACTTGACTTTTCAAGTCAACGGCGTCTAACTTTGACCGATTATATGTGTATATAGAGAAAGTATCGATAATATGAAAATGAAATGAAAATGTTCTTTGTTAAAAATACTATCATAAAAGTATAAAATTATTAAATTTTGCATAAATATATTAGTTAAAATCATTGGTCAAAGTTAGACACCGTTGACTTGAAAAGTCAAGTTTGGCTAAGTAAATTGGGACGGAGGTAGTAGTATATATAAAATCTTTACAGCTTTATGCATGTTTTACCAAACAATTAATTTGATGCATGAGATGATAATAATTAGAACTTAACGAATTTGTCTTCTATGCTTTATGCGACATTCCAAATTCTATCTTCGCCTTGTTCGAATCCTTATTTAACTTGTACTATGTTTCGAGCTGAGCACTAACCTTTAGAGTTTTCTCTCTGACTCAAGTAATTTTTGAAGTTTAAAATAAGTTTTATATTAAATATTATTAATATAAAATTTACGAAAAAATGTGACCAAGGTTAATCATGCTTTTATTGTCACTACTATTATATGGGATTTGAAAGCAGATGTAGTCACTCAAAATTACTATGTTACAATTTTGTCTATTATCTTTATTTTGGTTCAAATATTAGGAGTTGTTTCATTCAATTAAAAGTATCCAAATTAGACTAATTTCATAACTTAAACTATCAATTCTATAATTATTCAAAGGTATGCTTTTAAACAAAGATAATTGGCATCTATAAGAAAACAATTAATTCATTTTAGACACTTAATCGTTGTTCCATAATGCATCATTAGTCGCCTACTGCAGAGGCGCATTGTTGGGTGTGTATTTCAGCTCAGGTCTCCAACCAAAACAACTCACACACAGCACCCCAGGATTGTTTAGCCACTCCACTCACCTTGTTTACCACTCCCTCACACTCTAACTACACACAAAGACAAACAAAGGTGGGGCTCGAGACAGGCAAGCAAAAGTCAGGAGGCCAAGAGACAAATAATACCAAGTCAATAAGAGTTGGCAGCGGATGGGAAATGCCAGGCTAGCTAGATCAGTAAGAGTGTAGGAAGTAGGAGTAAACATAGGGTGCAGACCTTAACATAATAAGTGGAAGGGAGACCTTAGTAGGACCAATGTCTCCAACATTCTCCACCTTATTGGTCTTAGGTGGTGTAGAGTAACAAATACACGGTTGTGAGGAGACTCATCATTGCTGAACCATTACAAGTACATCATTGCGATCATACAAGTAATAGATGAGAACCAAAGTTCCCTTTCGGACCAAGCTTACCATGCAAACCCAATTCACGATGGACTGAACTCTACCAATCGGTCCTCGAGCTCAGAACCAAAACCATCACAAAACTATTAACACGCATATAACTAAATGTTCTCCCCCACCACACCTGAGATCACAAATCAGCCAATTGATGCTGGACTGGTATCGATTCAAGAAGTGAGTATATGGACGATCAGGATACGTAAAGTTTGCAACATAAAATCGAATTCATTTGATCATTTTTTGATAAATAAAACCTGAATAAGGAGATTCTTCATTATACTTAAATTAAAATTAAAAAAGTGTTTTATTTATCATCTTACGAAAAATAAGTAGGGTTGAGATGTGTTCGGTTTTATTTATCTGATAACATCTAACAAGAGGGATAATGGAGTAAATACTTATCAATTCAATTACCTAGAGAATTAAGGAGTTTAACATAAAAATAAATAAGTAAATAAATAATTAAATATATACAAGTAAGTAATAGATTAAAATTTTATTATTCTATAAAGGTTTTTTAATAGTTCCTCATACATATTGTTTAAGAATCGAGAATTGAACCATTAATAAAAATAGGAATCAAACTATTAATAAATTACTATATGTTGGAATCAAATGGAATCATAATGATGCAGTTTACCAATTCCTTGTTTACAGTCCCACCCTATTTGTGAAGTGTGACCCATTTGCAACTTAATTAGCCTGCTTGTCACAATGTTGAAACAACCGAAGAGGGAAGGCACCCATTAATTTTACTGGTTCATGAGGTTAACCCGAACCCACACAGGTCAACCCGATCAACGCAGAAAAAACCGATCAATTTTAAGTGAAAAGTAAAACATAAAATATATTTAATTTGCCTTTATATAAAAGTGAAAAGTAAAAAGTAAAAAATACTTTTACTTTAATTTATTCAAAATTTAATAATTTTTATAAGAATAAATAAAAAAAATAATGTGCCAAAAGCTCTTTTACAAAGTTTAAAATGTAATTAGAATCAGTTGGACAATATATGAACATAATATTTATATAAATAATTATAAATAGGATTCCTATATATATGTTATGAATCTTTTCTAATTTTTAGTATACTATAATACACCCATAAAAATAGTAATTATGATGATTACCAGTAAATACGGAGGAATTAATAATAGCATTGTACTCTAAAAATGATACAGGAGTAATGTATAAAAATGATACAGAAGTAATGTATTCTATTAAAGAGCATTGTTAACTTATTCAAGGAATAGCACAGTTGGTTTTTGTTTTAGTTTGCAGATAGATGACCGGTGTTTGCATCCCCTTGCCAGCCGAATTTTTGGGAAAATAATAATTAGTTTAATTTGTTTCTAGTTTTAGTTAAATTTCCGGGTTTCAAGGTTTATAGGTTCGGATGGGCCACCGATAGTTCTAGTTTCTAGGGCTGGTTGACCAGGTTCCAAGCCCGACCACCCGGTCTGTTCCAATTTAGTTTTTTAGGATTGAAGTGTTTGATAAAAAAATGCTTTAGAGTGTAGTAAAAAATGAAAAACATTTAGGGGGTGTTTGGATTAAAAAAACAATTTTAGCTTCATGCTTCAATAAAAGCTGTTGGATTGAAGTTAAGAAGATTAATTAAAGCCTAAAGCCAAAATCATGTTGGAGGTATCTTTTATTAGCTTCTTCATTTTGTTACAAATCCCCTTCCGTCATTTCAATGTTCATTGAGTATGCATATATAAACACACACATGACTCTCATCTTCCATATAATCATGATAAAAAACAGAAAAATGAAAACGATGAAGATTGTCTTGTAATTGTGTGTGTGGGTGTGTACGGCGTGTGTATAATGAGATGGTCGACAATTGCAGAGAAGATTGGCAGCAAATCGGCGATGTCGCTGGATATTTCTCCCTTTATCAGCAGCTTCCATGGCCAGTTTTTAATTTGAAGTAAAAGCAAGTATACGGCAATAAAAAAATAACAACATTCAAAGTGCTAGTCCAGTGGTACCTGCTGCTAGTCTGCTGGTCTGCCAATACATCCACAATAGTTTGAAACATATAAAATTGGTTTACACAGAGACAAAGTTTCTTCAGAAAATTGATGGATTGAACTCCAATTTGGAAGAAGATCGATATGTAATTTCTTACAGAGTATTCTTATGCACTTTATAGAAGGGTATATTTATACTTCAACACATTATTTCATCAAAAACCACTTTTCTATTAAACACTTCAACTTTTACTTTGTAGTTAAAATCTCTTCTATTTACAAATACTGTCTACTTTTATTATATATCACGTTTTCTTAAATCTCTTAAATAAACCACTTTTAATGATAAGTATAAGCTAACACAAACGTAGCCTAAAGAGCATCACTCTCTATGTTTGTAGCTCTCCATTTAAATGTACTTAAAAATAAGTAAAAGTTACGGGGTAGTATTTAAAAATGCCTATTTTAGCTTTTCCCACCCAAAAAATCACAAAAGTGCTTTGTATTTTTAAACATAAACGCAAAATATGTTTTTATTTTAAATTAAATGTTTTAATTATTATAGAGCAGCTAGTAATTATATACCAGAAGTACATGTTATTTTAGAAAGTATCATGCAAAAGCATCCTACGCTACATTTTCCAACAAAATATACTATTGGAGATGTAACAACGACAACTACTATATGCAACTACAATATAAGAAGTACGAAGTAAGAAATAATAACATATTAATATTAATAATAACTATAATAAGTATACTACAATAATATAAATATAAAAATAGTAAAAAAGTAATAATATATTACTTTGATCTCTTTTTAGTTAGCCCTCTTTCATGATAAACTTTGATGAATTATTTTAACAAATATGTTTTTGTGGAAATTATATAGGTAGTAATTTAAACTTTTATGATATTATTCTAACAACAACAAATTTATATCATTTTTCTATTATAAATAATTACGTATATAAATATATTATCAATCAAATTTTAACATCTTTGTCTCAAAATTCAAAAAGGACTCACGGCGAAGCTAGGATGTTTTTACTTGGACTGTAATTTGCTGGTCTGGTCTGGTATGATTTCTTTGTATTTTTATAACTACCCAAGTCTGGTCTGGTCTGGTCTGGTCTGGGACAAATTACACTCCAAGTAAAAACATGCTAAGGAAGCACTATTGATGACGGTAAAATAATGGTAGTAGTAGAGATTATTTGTTGGTCAAGTGGTCCCTAGAATAATTGTAGCATACTTATTATAGTTATTATAAATATTAATATATTATAATTTCTTACTTCGTACTTCTTATATTGTAGTTGCATATAGTAGGTGTCGTTATTACATCTCCAAGAGTTTATTTTGCTAGGAAAATGTAGCGTAAAATGCTTTTGCATGATACTTTCTAAAAAACACATGTACTTCGGGTATATAATTACTAGCTGCTCT